AATGATTTGTATTGTTCGAGAGAGTTCAACTCTTACCTAAATATAGTCTTAAATAAATTGAGCACTGGCAAGACTGTCAAAGAATTAAAAAATATATATATATATATATTTAATTTATGATGTAGATATTATATCAATATTACAGTAAATTAAAATTGATCGAATTCAAAAATATAATTTTTATATTCCAATCATGCCGAAAAAATTACCGGCCAAAAACTTTTTTGGCCAATTTTTTTATAGGTGTCCCATGAATAATGAAAACAGCTGTAACATACTGTATCAAGTATAATATATCTCCGGCTGGGAATTCGGAATTCCGTTTAATAAAAAGATCATCGGAAAAAAAATCTGGTCACGATTTTGTGCCCTGGCCCGACTAAGTCGCGATGCATAAAAAAAAAAAGATGTAATAGTCACGATGCATAAAAAATGTCGTATGATGTAATTTATGCGATTGGTTTATTGTTAAATGTAGTACATAAGAAGAATATTGAAAAAACATAGAAAACTTTTACTAAGACGTCGGTATCTGTTTTTGCCTTTATTTCTTTATTTCCTTATTTCCATTATTTCTATTATTTCATTATTTCTATTTCTATTATTTCATTATTTCTATTTCTATTATTTCATTATTTCTATTCTTTCTATCATTTTCATTATTTCCATTATTTCCATTATTTTTATTATTTTTATTATTTCTATTATTTCTATTATTTCTATTCATGTTCACATACATATGTACAAGGCAAGAACTTAATTTCCCAAAGTACCAGAAAAATTCTTTTCTTCTATTTGTACATGATATTTCTGGTGATTACTAACATTTTTCTTTGGTTCTAAATTTTTTGAGTAGTTACCAACGACCTCGAAGCAATGCGATTAATCGACTCTGTAATATACGAAAATTTCTATATCAGACACTAGCATTATTAACTAGGTGCTTACCATATATATGCAATACTAATATGCAGACTCTAACCGACTCATTATAACAATAAGGCTTTCGAGGACCCTTATTATATACATATGTATACACGTACGTATGTACTTTTTTTTTCTCGGAAATTGGCCTGCTAATACTGCAATTTAAAGATAAATTTAGCTATACAAGCTATAAATCATTATAAGCTTTTTTTATTAGATAAGATAGTTAAAAAAAATCACAACAATTAACTTATACATAAAGAATTTTAATGTGCGTACATACAAATTTTGTTTATTATTAGCAAGACTGCTATAAATATTAATTACTTTGCATAAATTTTTATCGATTTTTTAAAATTGTTTTTAAATGGATCAATTAAAAATCATCCAAACGACACCTGTATTTACTGTGTATCCCAATGAAACAAGAAATAATTTACACAATATAATTTATCAACTCCTAGAGAACAAACTTATTCATCTGGCCCTTTGTCTGTAGAACAAGCAAGCTCATCTAATACTGTACCACTTTACCTGTGGTAGAATATATTTTATCCGATAAAGACTTAGCTATTCCATCATCTTAAAATACTATTAGAAAAATAAATGTCCATTAATTGAAGATGATGATATTTGTATTAAATTGTGGTCTGATTTAACTATTAAATTGTTATTTGCTTATTTGTCTGAAATTTTTGAGTTTTCGCAAAAATAAAGAAAATTTTTATGCGAGCACTGCTCTGCATATAGGTAGTAAGTTGAGTGTTTAGATCCGTGATAAACTACAGAGGTTGATTAAAAAATATTCCAAAGAAAGTAAAGAAAAAACAGGAAAGTGGGCCTCGTAATGGCCCTAATGAACGAAATTTTCAGAAATCGGGAGAATATTAACCCTATGTATTTAATTGATAACACTGGAAAGGTACTATTGGGTGCGTGGTATACTATATAAATAAAAACTATGTGTGATTACATAATAAAATTTATTAACGAAGATTATTTGATAAGTAATAATTATTAGAAAATTTTAAATAGATGCACAGCCCTAACGCTCGACAGTTTTGGATAAATTTTACAAAAACCAGTATTATGTTCCTACAAACAAAGCTATAGAGCCATTTCTTTTATTTAATGTAAAAAAATTTTAAATACTGTACTATTTTTTTTTCTTAAAAAGTCAAGTAAAAAGAACTTAATTTAATTCCTTTTTTAAAGAAATTGCTCTATAATTCTGTTTGTAGAGACATAATACTGGTTTTTGTAAAATTAGTTGTGCATCTATTTAAAATTTTCAAATAATTATTATATAAAATTTATTACCTATGAAAAAACTTTGTTAATAAATTTTATCATATGGAATCCTTTTAGTAGGATGGGCGGAAACTGCCCCAAAAATGAAATTTGAGTTTTTATTGGATTTGGGTAAATTTCAATGTGATTAACATTTCTCAATTATAAATTAATGTCGATTTGTATAATAAACAGTCGAGATAATGTAAAGAAAAAGTTGCACAAAGCTATGCACATCACAAGATTACTCGGTAATCACCTGTTACCTTCAGGAAAAGCTACAGGCACAACATTCATGTGACTTATATGCACAGCATTGGCTAAGGTTATGGTTAGAGTTAGCGTTAGAGTAAGTGTATTATAGTTGTGCTAGTCATTGCTGTGCACATAAGCACGTGAATGTTGTGCCCGTAGCTTTTGCCGTTATCTTTAGCCAATCAAACCCGTGATATTTTGATTAAACCGGATCAGTCCAAAAATTAAAACAAGTGATTAATCTTAATTATCTCAAAATAAGATATATTCGAGTTTCTGCCCTTTCTACTGCAAACACTCCATATGACCACATATAATTTACATATTATTATTGGACAAAGAAGAACATATGAGATTCCATTCGCTATTAATTACAAGCACTATATCATGCATATTGACTCTAAGAAATAAGCACATCTGAAACTAACTATCTGTCTTAATCTATTGAATCTTCACATGAGAGCCAAGAAGAATTCACATAGCTGTAACATGGGTACTGTTTTCACCCATAGGTCCTAGCACTGTTATTGCAGCCACAGAGCTAATCATCAACCTGAGGTCCTTGTACTGCGCGAAATCTAATTATCAACCTGAGGTCATTGCGCTGCGAAGCCTAATTGCAACATAAGGTCCTTGTACTGCTATTGCAGCCGTGGAGCCTAATCATCAACCTGAAATCTTTACACAACTATCAACCTAACCTGAAGTCCTTTACTGCCATTGCAGTCATAGAGCCTAATCATCAACCTGAGGTCCTTGACTGCCATTGAAGTCGCGAAGCCTAATCATCAAAATGAGGTCCTTACACTACTATTGTAGCCATAGAGCCTAATTTATAGCATAAGGTCCTTGCCTGCTATCGCAGCTACGGATCCTGTTTATTAATTTGAGGTCCTTGCATTGCCATAGAGCCGTGGAGCCTAATTGCAACATGAGATCCTTGCACTGCTAATCACCAAACACAAAACACTTGAACTGTTATCCCAGCCACAAAGCCTAATCAATATTATAAAGTTTCACCTAATAACTAAACATACTGCTATCGCAACCATAAGCCTGATTATTAACATGAGGTCCTTGCACTGCTATTGCTGCTGCATAGCCTAATCACAACATGAGGTCTCTGCACTGCTATTACAGCTGCAGAGCCTAGTCATCAACTTGAGGTTCTTGTTTAATTACCAGCATGAAGTCCTTTACTGCTATTGCAGCTAATGATACCTGATGAAACTATTTTTGAATGATGAAATTGTTTCGTCAGCACACTTGCTTGACGAAACCTTGGTGATTGATGAAACTCCTGACAATTGACGAAACTCCTGACGATTAATAAAACCCTTGACGAATCAATTTAACCAATAAAATATTCAGCATAATTACTATATTAATGTGTAATAATGAGTAATAACGTATATTTATGCGTTTTTTTAGGACACAATACAGTAGTTTACTTTTAACAGACTTCTTTATACATAGCAACCTCTGAATGCTAATATTAAGTTTTTTTTTTTTTAAATTTATGTTTTAAAGTTCCAACAGTTTTATAAATTATAATTTTAATTGATGTGTAATAGATTTTTTATACTAATAAAAATTTATTGCCGTATTCTAAATAAAGAAAAAGTCTTTTTTGCTATTTAATTTGTTGGTGCTTTTAATTTTAATAAGCATATATTTAAGTAAACATGATCGGCTCTTAAAATAAATTAAAATTCATATAAAGCTATATTAGTTATATTTTAAGCATGTTTGTTTTATTAAATATCAAATATTCCTAATTACATCTTTATGATTTAAGCTAAATCTAGCTAACTTATATTCTAGCTTCTATTACAACTTGCTTTCTAAGTGCAATAGGCAAATTTTCACTATCTACTTCTGGATCAAAATCTATATCTCTTTCACTATCTTCATCTAAAATATTATCCAAATTATCATCCATACACATTTCCATATTTAACATATTTTCGATATTTTTAGTATCACTATTCTCCCATACATTCAAATCTGTTACTAAATCTACTGGATCAAAATTGAATACACCCTGCCTTTCATTATTACTAATCATTGGTTCATCATCTTCTCTTCGTAACTACTAATTTGTGATCCTTCGCTTTCACTGTCTGATTCGTCATTTTGAAATACATTATGATTTAAATTTACCATATTTTCAATACTAAGAAAATTAATGCTTTCTAAATTTTGTTTAATTTCGGTTTCAGTTTCAGAATGTTCAATCAGATCATCATCACCAAATTTAGTTAAAAAAGTTGACGTTGCTACTAATTCTTGTAAATTATTAACAAGTAATGCTTTTCCATAAAATGCCAATTCTTTTTGAATATTTGAGATATAAAAGGATCGGATTTGTGCCATTGCCTGAATTCGAGTAAGTGAAAGTCATTGTTGTCATTTTCTATATAACTAGCCTAAAGCTGAAAATGTTCTTTCACAGTCTACTGAATGAGGTGTTATTGAAAAAATTTTAATTGCAAGATTTAGCGCCAGTAAAGTTTGGCATCTACCATAATAAAGGGGTATCAGCTTCAAAGCTATATGGTAATTCGAATCCTTTTTTTTTTTCTTTAAATTGTCTCATATATTCAACTAAATTTGCACATTCATATTTATCATGACCTTCGTCTTTCCAAATATTAATTGCTGTTTTGGCAATTGCTTGAAATTGTCGTTCACGTAAACCAGCACCTAATAAATAAATTGTATTAATATGATTTAATTTAATTAAACTTTAAAAGTATATAAACTTACCACGATATCCTGGGTGCAAAAAATATGCTAATAGATAATTATCTGAATTAAAATCATTCCATCTTTTATTAAAAGTCTGCATACAGTAATTTTTAAATCCACTAATTCTAAATCTTGGAACTTTTTTAATTGCAGCCGCCAGGTAAATGAATTGTACAAAACAATCTGCTAAAGTTGTTAACTATGATTCTAAGTTTAAAATTGTCATATAAATTGAAGCTAAAATTTTAATTAAGATTTTAAGATCTGAAAAAAAAAAATCGTCTTAAAATTCGGTTCACTTCACGATTTGTAATTAGATCGGGATTATTATTCATAATCTAATAATTTAAATTAAATTAATTAATATTAAAAAAATTAATATAAATAATTATAAATAATAATTTACCTTAATAAAAGCATGTTCAAGTCTACTAACAGATAAAACATGTTCATATGCAGAAATCCATCTGGTATCAACAAACTTTTTCAGCCCACCACCAGGAATTTGTAAGTTATAAATTGCTTCTTGTAAATGTGCATTAGGTTGATGAGATTTTTTAAAGTAATTTACAATCTGATTACAATCTCTTATTAAATGTGAGCTAAATGTATGTTCTAAAATATAAATAATAAAATTTTAGATGTATATATTTCATATTTTATATATTTTACAATATATAGTACTTACTAAGAATATCCTTTGATAGAAGATTTACACAGTGCGCAACACAATTTAAATTTAAAATTTTTGGATGCTTTTTATGAATTATTTGTCGAGCAAGTTTCATATTACTAGCATTATCAGTTACAATTGCTGAGAATTTACTACATCCAATTTCATTCAAAACTAATTCAATTTTATCCACAAGAAATTTGGCTGTATGTGAATTTGCAGAAAAATCTGATAAAGAGTATAGATATTTATGGTGTATAGAAGTTAAAATCATAAAGCTATAAATTGAATTCCCATTAGGTAAAGTTCACCTGTCTAATGCTACAAATAATAAAATTTATTATTAAATATAATAATAAATAAAATTTAGATATATATTATTAAAATTATACCTAAAGTAAGATTATCTGATTCATGAAAAATATTTTCATGTTTAACTATAACTTTTGAACATTCCTGATCTAATAATCGTCCAGATAATATTTCACTTGATGGTGGCTTATAATTTGGACATAAGTTCTGAAGAAAATCGATAAAAAATGGATTGTCTATAACAGAGAATGGAATACCACATACTACAAAGGCCTTTAATAATGAGCTATTTATAGAATTCATACGCCCTTCTGATAAACTATCTAATTTTTGTGAAAAATAATTTGAAATACTAGACTGTTTATTGCTTTGTTTTTTAGTATTAGCTAATAAAATTTCAGCTTGTGTTTTTTCTGTAATACCATCATGATGAGCTACACAAAGCAAATAGATTTGCCGGACATGATTTTCTACTTTAGAACACTCTAGTGCAAGATGTGCTTCAGGTCTTGCCGGCTCACCTCTTCCCCATTCAGTTAGACAAAATTTGTATTTGGCTAAAAAATAACCAGCTGATTTGGTTCGCTTTTAATAAAAAAATTCCCATACAGGTGCTAGTTGACGACCTCCAAAGCTTGTTTTATTTGATGTAATTAACTCAGATACAGAGTTTGTTTTATTTAACATATTCGATTTAGAAATATTTGCTGGTAAGGTAAAAGAGCTTGATAATTTTTTTTTTGAAGTAAGTGATAAAGACTTGACTTTTGTTTGCTGCTTCCCATTCATATCAATATTGTTTTTTTTTTAAAAAAACAATCGCGAGTAAACAAATATTTATACAATTGTTTTATTTGTTGTACAATGTATTAGATTTATGTAATTGTGTTGATACCAGTTTGAAATTTGCAGTATATAAGCTTATCATTATATGCAAAAAGAATAGAGATTACTAAATTCTATTATGCTTAACTCTGTCTAATCCAAAGAAAAAAACCTACTAAGTTTCAGTTGTTTAATATAGGATTATGCCTATTTGTAATCTAGCTTTAATTTGTCTTAATAATTTAGATATAACAAGGTAATTTATTACTAGCATTATTAACATTTAACAGCATAGATAAATATTTTCTTTGCACTTTCATTAATACTAGCTTTTTAATTAGTTACTTTTCATTATTAATCATAATCTATTCAGTTTATATAAGGTTTGTATTTTACTTATCATTATTTTTTTCGCTTACAAGAAAGAGAACCTTTGGCTTACTAATTCATTTATTCTATTTATATTTCGTTGGCTCTGATTATATATTTAATGCACATGCTAAATAAACTTTACTGATTAAACTAATATATTATATTATATATCACCTGATTACATTCTATTTATAACATAACCTTAACAATCAAGTTCCAAACAATAGTAATTCAATATTCTCTAGTTATGACATATAAGGTATAGTTATTGCATGTTAATTATATTGTTACAAATTTTATATGTACTGTATACACATAAAATTCAAAAAACGAAGCATTTTATTAAATTGCTCAAATTTCATTTATACAAATTTATAACTGTCTAACTTCTTTTCAAAAGTATTTATATAATACAGCATAGTTCATTACTTTGCTTTTTTTTTAATTCGGATTATTAAAGGTGATTTGCACATATAATAAGTATTATTAATATGCTCTAACATTCAAACTAGAGATTTTACCTCACACAAGATTATATCATTACATAAAAAGTACATCATATGTATGTATGTATGTATATACATATATGCGATGCAAAATATTTAAGAATCTCAATCTTTACATAGAGATAATGCATAAAATAGTAGCATATTAAAAACAATTTTCTTAAATTATCGAGCTTAATAAAGTGAAGGATTCAGAATTCTCAACCATCTTGCATACTAATAATATGCCAAGAATAATATGATTTAATAACAATGATTCAAGCATACTATTGAAACCTTAAAATATGTGCTAATGAATTCAGCTTATTTTCAATGTACGTATTAGTTATTCTTATTCTACATAAAGTAAGTTTCTCATGCTAAATTTACCTTATAGTTCATGTGAATTGTGAAATTTATGCTAGGATATCTTAAATGAGACATATTTTTGGTTCAAACCTAAAAATAAACCCTTTAAATTCATTTTAATAATTTAAATTTTTTATTTCTTTCATAAAAAATCAATAGTCATATATTTCGTCAATAGTCACAGGATTTGTCAATCGTCAATTCGTCAATCAGAAATGCCTTGATGAAACGTTTCATTATTCGTCAATAACAAATGACGAATCATTCGTCAGGTATCATTAATTGCAGCTGCAGATCCTAATCATCAACGTAAGGTGCTTGCACTGATATTGCAGCCGCAGAACCTAATCATCAAAGCAAGGTCCTAGCACTGCTATTGTAGTCATGGCGCATAACCCCATACTATGAATATTCAATATACTAATATGTATGCCCATACATATACTGTATATATATATGTACGATCAAAAAATTTGAAACCTTAAAGTGATTGAGATTTTAGATTTTCTGCACTGTACGTATTCTTTATCTATTAATTGAAGCTTATATACATACTAAAATATATTCTGTTAAAATATTTAGTACTATGGTACATGTACTAATATTAATAATAATAAGAAGAAAAGTTCAATGTAAAAAGAAAAAATTAAATGAAAATGACTTATTATATATTGAGTCTGTAGCCGCTATTAGTGAAAGTAAAAGAATATCAGCTGAAAGTAGACAAAAATGGCATAATGATCATTTGAAATTAAGCGGGAAAATTTTAATTTTGAAAAAGAATATCGAGAATTGGAATTTGAACTAAAAAAAAGAAGTTGAAGCTCGAATTAAAATTGAAAGAATTAGAAAAGCAAATGAAAATGAATTTTAAAAAAAATTAAAGAAAAAAAATAAACTAGAAATGAAATATAGGTATAATGAGCCTAACAATGAAATTTTATAAATATTAGACTTCACTTTTGAATAACTATCAAATGTATACATAAATGTATGTTAAATTTAGATCAGTGAAGTATTTTTTCGAATATGAAAATAACTTTTTTAGAAAAAGAAATAGTTACATATTATTTTTTTTGTAACATAATTTTACATACTTTATTAATTCTCTATTTCTTTCAATATTATAATAAATAATCGTGAATTAACATTTCAATATACAAAAATATTGAACAGCTTTTGTCTCAAATTATCATCAGATCGAATATATAATAGGCCCAGTTATGTTCTATCGAAAGTATAAGTTAATTAGTCATGCAATTATTTACGAAAGTATAATCAAGATAATTTGATATTTATTAGTAATAATTAATTGTTGTGGCTGACACAGGTCGAAAGATAAAAAATCAGACACAAATCAGGTACCTGATTTGTGCCTGATTTTTCATCTTTCGACCTGTGTGATACTAAAATCCGAACCTATATTAGTTAATAGATTATCATGATCGCTAAGAGAGGTCTTTCATAAATATATTTTATTACCAGTTATACAAAAAACTATTAATTTAACGAAGATTTTATTGGCTCAGTATTTTCTTTTAGCAACCTAATGTAAAATTAAATTAATTTTGTGGCTCAAAACCATTGTTACATTAGAAATTCGGGGTCCCTTTAGTTCCCGGATGCCGCAGTCATGTATGCCATGTCATAAAGGTGCATGATCTGCAAAATAATGTATAGGTAAAGGCGCAGAATACATCGCATCGCTGAAATATAAGTGAAACTAACCAAGTGGTTCGCTTGAATGTAAAGAATAAATTAGAGATGTATTGGTTTAAAATAGAAAAGCACCAACGAGAAAATGGAGTAGAAATAGATACTTCCCGAAAAACATGTATTTAAAGCCCTTGCTTTTCCCTTACTTTCATTCGAACTTTCTTAGCTTAGAATTCTCACCCTTAGAATAGCATTTCCTTATCTCTTTTGTATTATCTAGTTACTTTATCGGTTAGATAAAGTAACCGTGTCTTCATACATGTTAAATTTCCTTATTTTTCTTAATAAAATCTTTTGGAACGTTATCACGTGACCACGTGACTTGACGTCCATTGTTAACCTATGTAATCGGAAATTCTACGGACAGAGCTTCGGGACAGAACGGGATAGAGCAGAGTCACGTGATGTTCAAGAAGAGAAAAATAAAACTTTTCCTAACTCTAAATCAAAATATCTTAGTAACCACCTGACCAAATTCGACAAAACTTTTTTATTTGAAT